AAGGAAGGAAGAAAGAAAGGAAGGAAGGAAGAAAGAAAGAACTTTCCTAACACATTTACAGGTCCTGAGCCAATAGAAGTTCTAAGGCATGGTTAGCCGTGCTGTGGTTTGGTGGAGGTTTCACCCACACACTTCCACGGGGGGTCGTGGAAAGTCCCTATTAGTGGTGAACGTGGCAGAGCTGAGCAGTTAGTTATGTCTGACTTCACATCCAGGCAGGGAAATAGGGCGGGGAGATCTCATTCAGCTAGGATTAGGCCCAACTGCCTGTCAGAGCTGACTAAAGGATCCAGGAGCAAGGCAGGGGAACTGGATCTTTCATTCTAGCCCTGTCTTTGGGGGCACAGGTGGAGCCCAGGGACTCGCTATCTTCCCCCAGACCGTGGGCCACACAGCATTACATGGGTTACAGCAAAGAAGCTCATTCCAAATCCAGCTTAGATACAGCAGAGGCATGGGTCATGGTGAGTTAGGGCAGCTGTGGTGTTCATAGGAGTGCTTGGTAGCCAAGGAGAGAGACTGGAGTGTTTAGACTGGAGGAAAGGAAGGAGGAAGAGAAGGTGGGAGAGAGACAGACAGACAGAGACAGAATGACAGAATCTTATTCTGTTAAGTGATTCCCAGTCTTGAGTTCAAATCACCTTGGCCCCTCCTGAAGCCACCCCAGTCTTCAACCATAGCCTTCCCAGGCCTCTGAAAACATGGCTCCCAAAACTCCTGGCCTGGATGGGGTGTCTGAGAACTGAGGCAGAGAGGATGTGTGAGATCCAGGTCACCTGGGACCCCCCTCCATTGTCCCAGCACCACCCCTATTCTCTGGTCCCCTCCTCTTGGCCCAGCCTGGGTATGTACCTGCTCACAGAGAGGGTGAGGTGATCCTGGCAGCCTTTGATGCGGTTCTGCGCCTCCAGGTGTGTCATGAGCTCTGTGCTTTCGCCATTAATGGCCTGAATCAGGTCTCCTGGGCATAGAGAAGCCAGCGCAGCCTTGCTGCCAGCATGGACCTGTAGGTGGACAAGCTAGATGGTTTACACAGTCATTATGTGGCCCTTCTGCCCTACACTTCCTCCAACCTCAGAACCTGGCCACAGTGGTGGTCATGCTGCCAGTGTGATTTGTAGGTGGGCATCCAAGGGCCTGAATGAGGTTCCCAGGTATGCCCTTGTTGTAGTCTCTGCTCTAAAAAAACAAACAAACAAGAGGCTGGGAAGGTGGCTTAGTGGTAGAGCGCTTGCCTCGCATGCATGAAGCCCTGGGTTCCATTCCTCAGTACCACATACACAGAAAAAACCAGAAGTGGTTTTGTGGCTCAAGTGGTAGAGTGCTAGCCTTGAGCAAAAGAAGCTCAGGGATAGTGCTCAGGCCTTGAGTTCAAGCCAAACACCACACACACACACACACACACACACACACACTCATACACACACACACACACACACTAGGAGGCCTAGTAAGGTGTGAAGGTGTGTGAGCGGGGATTTATCTGGCCTGGGACAAATGAGATGTCACTCTGGCAACCTGTATACATACCCCAAGATAGGCAAGGGACACACATACACAGATGCTCACATACGTGTGTTTCATATATACAGAGCATGTGCATGTCACAGATGCTTCACACATATAATGCGCCACCCAGCCAGGCTGGATAGCAGTTCCTGCACCCTACTTATGTGATCTGGCCCCTCAGCTCATTCACATTCACTCTTCTACTTTCTGGGGACTCACAGGCACCAGTGTTCCCCTCCAGGCTTCCACAAATGCCCCCAAATAATCCTTTTTATTTTTGTTTTTTGTCAGACATGGGGCTTGAACTCTGGGCTCTGGGCACTGGCCCTAAGCTCTTCAGCTCAAGGCGAGTGCTCTACCACTTGAGCCACAGTGCCACTTCTGCTTTTCTAGTGGTTGACTGGAGGTAAGAGTCTTGCAGACTGGGCTGGGAAGGTGGCTCAGTGGTAGAGCGCTTGCCTTGCATGCCTGAGGACCTGAGTTCGACTCCTCAGTACCACATAAGCAAAAAAGAAAAAAAGCCAGAAGTGGCGTTGTGGCTCAAGTGGTAGAGCGCTAGCCTTAAGCTGAAGAGCTGAGGGACAGCGCCCAGGCCCAGTTCAGGCCCCACGACTGGACCCCCCCAAAAGGAGTCTTGCAGACTTTCCTGCCAGAGCTGGCTTTGAATCTCAATCCTCAGATTTCAGTCTCCTGAGTAGCTAGGATTACAGGCGTGAGCCACTGGAGCCTGGCTCTTTTTTACTTTTATTTACTGTTTGAACTCAGGGCCTCATAACATGGTAGGCACTTGAATCTTGCCCTTTTTGTGCTATAGTTATTTTTTTTTCAGATAAGGACTCCCTCTTTTGCCTTGCAGGTCTTGGACTAGTTTTCCCACCCATGGCTCAGACATAGCTGGTATTACCTGGCTTGATGAGATAAGAGTTTTGTTATTTTGCTCAATCTGACCTTGAGTAGTTGGGATTACAACTTTGCGCTACTGAACTTGACCCTCTGCCCAGAACACTGTCTCCTTTGATTCCCAAACTCCCTACTCAGTAGTGTATCCTTTTTCTCCTTCAAGTCTCAGCAAACAGGCCACTTCCTTGTGGTACTCTGTGTGCCCCATTAGCACATTTGTTCTACTTTGTTCATGCCTTGTTACAATTAAAATGGGGAGAGGTCTGTACATCACCTCATTAACCAAGTACAGAGTTGCAATGATCAGCCTGTACTCTGGGTCACAACTCCACCTCCACTTCCCCTTGCAGGATCCCCAGTGTCAGGACCGCCCTCACAAGGTCAGGCTGTGTTCATATTGGAAATGTACAATGCCGGTCATCTGACAAAAACCACGTGAGAGAGGAGAGCAGATTCACAGAGACCTGAGTAAGCAATCCAGGGGGACTCGCTCCTCTACTCTAGCTTGGTTCCAACGTAATAGAAATAGACTTGAGCTAAACACTGATCTGAGGATTATGGTTCAAAGCTAGCCTGGGTGGGAAAGTCTGTGAGACTCTGACCTCTAATGAACCACCAAAAAGCCAGAAGTGGAGCTGTGACTCAAGTGGTTGAGCACTAGCCTTCAACACAAAAACTCAGGGATAGCACCCAGGCCCTAAATTCAAACCTCAGGACCAGCACATACACACAGACACAAAAAGAAATAGACTTGAGGCTCCTTTGTTCTGAGCCACTTAGCCACTCTAGCTAGGGGTGCTCTGTGTGTGGGGGAGGTATGGGGGGGGTAGGTCCTGGGGCATGAACTAAGGGCCTGGGTGCTGTCCCTGAGCTTCCTTTGCTCAAGGCTAGCACTCTACCACTTGAGTCACAGTTTCACTTCAAGCTTTTTTTTTGAGGGGGGGGTAATTAAGTGGAGGTACAATTTTCTTGCCTGGCCTGGCTTCGAACCATGATCCTCAGATCTCAGCTTCCTGAGTAGCTAGGATCACAAGTGTGAACCACTGGTGTCCAGTGACCAACCAACCGTGTTCTTATTAGTGGGGGCAGCGGCCCCTGGAAGTCCAGCCAGCTCAGCTCAGCCAGCTCCTACTAGTAAGGAGACAAAAGCTGAGGTGCTGGCAGTCCTTGGCTAGAGGCCTGGTATGGGCACTGCCCAAGCTGACCTGCCCTAAAATAGCCTCCCTCAAGGAATGTTCTCTTCCAAAGCCAAGCCAGCCCACCATTAATGCGCACTGGTAAGGTCTGGGCACCTGCACAAGCCTGTCCTCTTGGGGCAGGTGCCCACTTGGCACCATCCCATCCCATTATCTTCTCTAAGCTCTGCTCTAGGCTCTCCTCTCTTCATGGTTAGCTGATCGTGCCAATGCTTTACCCATAACCAGTCCATGGCAACGTGCAACTTTACCTCCACTTGGACTCTGGGGTCTACAGATGCAGAAAGAGGGGCTTGGGGTAGGAGGCATCGTGCCCCAGTTCCACACTGAAGAGGGGGTGGCTAGCTACAAGATGACTCAGCCGGCACAAGGGGCGCATTCAGGTCCCCTGTGGGTGGAGGAAGTTCTTGAAAGCAGGGGTGGCTGGGATGCTGCCAGTCCCATTAAGCGAGGGGCGTTCTGGTCAGAGAAGGCGGCAAGGGGCCAGGAAACCATGACTTTCTCAAGTGCCTTCACACGCATTGTCTCATTAATTCCCAAAGCAGGCCCATTTCCTGGATGAAGACACTGACACCCAAAGAAACACTTGACGGATATGGGGCTAAGCCAGGATTCCAGCACGTACACACATGCAGGCAAGGTGGCTAAAAGCGTCATTACTGAAGGGAGAATGGAAGCGATGCAGTTCAGAGAAGATGTAAGGACCAGAAAATGTGTTGGGCCTTGCAGGACCAGGTGAGAAACCAGCATTTCTCCTGCAGATCGAGAAGGGACTATTGGTTTAGGCAAGGAAGTCACAGGATGGAGTAGAATTCAGGGTGATTTGTCTAGCTGCCGACTTCAGGATAAACAGAAGGGTGTTGAGCATGCATCTACCTCTTCTTCACATCTGGAGCAACTATTCCAACCCCTGCTTCACCCAGCCTAGATGCTGTGGTGGTCCAGGAACTTCAGAGGGCGATATTGTCCAAGTTAGTCATAGTAAGCCCCCCAACAGGCCTAGATTCCTGACCCCACTATGCTTCTCGGTCCCTCAGTGTCTCCATCTACAATGCAAAGTAGAAGTGCTTATTTCTTTTTTTTGGGGGGGAGGGGTCTTGTCGTGGGGCCTGAACTCTGGGCCTGGGCGCTGTCCCTCAGCTCTTCAGCTCAAGGCTAGTGCTCTACCACTTGAGCCATAGCACCACTTCCAGCTTTTT